AAATAGCAAGGCACTAAAGTGTGATGGCAAAGATGAAAAAAAAAATGAGTGCCTCAGAGAGAAAAGGTACTTTTATWTGAAAAAAAAGTTGTCATTTCGTTATTATTTTCCAATAATTTTTTAAAAAAACTTCTCTAAATCCCTTTTAAGAAAGCTCTGGGACTAAAAAAAGTCAAACTGATAGCATTTTTCTTGTTTTTTTTTTTAAAAAAATACAAGATGTTCTGGTTGCCCAAGTCAATGCCTCAAAAAAAATAATAAAAACAGGTTCGTTTCTGTCAACTATCATTAAAAAAAGCGAGTTTCTCCCCGACGACCCAGTATCCCTACTGAAGGATGGAAAAATAAACAAGGCTGACATTATTACTGGTGTGAAAAAAAATGAAGGTGGTCTTCCCATATTTGCATTGTTAGATAAAAAAATCAATATCGAGGTTTTCAAAGCATGTGTCCAGATAAAAAAAAGGATGGTTGGAATGCACACAAAACTTGWTGAAGACAAAAAAATTTTTGAGTACCTCCCCCACGATGATTTAAACAATTCAGATAAGATTCGACAGGCAGCGATAGATGAAGGCACAGACAAAAAAATCGTTGCACCAGCTGTCATGGAGGCGAGGTTATTTAAAAAAACTGGTAACCGTGTTTACATGTTTGTCTTCGATCACAAAAAAAACCATCCAAGATTCCCAGAATGGTTTGGTGCCAATCATGGCATTGATTTAGCTTTCACTTTTGGCCGACCATTTAATAAAAAAATTTTTAAAGGCGATCTTGATTTTCTTGTTCCTGGCAAAAAAACAGTGCTTGAGCAAGGACTCTCGAAATATATCATGGAGATGTGGACCAACTTTGCCAAATATGGGTAAGTTACATAAAAAAAAAAAAACGAAATGGTACAACGACGTCTATTTTTTCGCAAAAAAAACTAATGGTTAACATCAATACGTAAGAATAGATCTAAAAAAAGCAGCTTTTTCTCCAGCGGACACAGCTGCGCTTTTAAAAAAAATTTGCATTCAAGTCATGGATTATGCATGCCAATCAGCTGATCTCCAATGCTAGTCTTATAGAATTCCTTTTCCTTAAAAAAAACACTGTAGCAGTACCCAACGCCAAATCTAACGTTTTAAGTCTGCAACTACACGGACACGAAGAGGTCGATTGCACTCGCTAAAAAACCTATGGAATAACAAAATTACTTTTACATTTTTAAAAAAATTTCTTATTGTTATMTTTTAGTGACCCAAACGGTGAAAAAAATGTGCCTGTAAAATGGCCAGCGTACCAAAACACTGGCCACGTGCACTTGAGCATCTCAACAAAACCTAAAGT